CTCTTTAAGAATACATGAATGGTAATTGATAAGAGAATAAAAGAACATGGCTGGAGTTTATAGAATTGTTTAGGTAAGATACTTTTAACATATTACATATTTATAACTAAAACATCGTTATTATGGCACATTCCCAAGCACAATAAGCTTGTCCCCAACTTTACTTTACTTTCAGTATCAAATGAAATGCTCCATCCCAAACATTTTAAAACACTAACTTTGAAAAGTCATTGTTCATAGATTACTTATTGCTCTTCTATGCCTCTTTTGATTATCCCTCTTTCTGAAATTTCTTTTAGAATATTGCATATTTTACCCTGGTATTTCCTACAGGTAAAATAACAAGTTAAAAAAGCATAAAAGATGTCTCATAGATTTACTGTGTGCCACTTTTTTCTCTCAAGACANGTTCATCATCTGAATTAAATGTAATGGTTAAGTGAAGTTTGGAAAAACTGTGACAAACAGATTTATTGACAGATTTATTGTCAGGCTCTATTTCAACAATAATTCTGTAAGACTATTTCCAAATAAAGTGAGCAATGTAATGAGTGGATATAAATAAATCCAATTATAAGCTTGTCTACTGGTGGAACAATGTTTAGTCTGTCCTGTTATATCTGCTCCAATCACTGGGGATCATCACCCTGAAGAAGCAATTTCAAGGCTGGAAAAGTTCAGAGGTGAGAACACGAAGTCCTGTCACATGAACAAAAAGACGAGTTCCATGACACTAGATTGAGCTGGAACTGTTTAAGGTGAGATTACTGTATGAATTACAGAGCATCCAAATTCCCAACCTAGCAAAGCAATAAGGATGTGCTATAATTAACACATCAACAGTCTTCAGTACTTCAGTAGCAGATCTGCTGAGTTGACTTGTTTTTGTTGTATTTCAACAAAAATGAAAATATTTTATAAATAAATGTTCAATAAAATAATTAAATCATATTCATGCTTCCTCCAAATTATTTAATTCTAATTGCTTCCAGAATTATTAAAGATACATCAGGCTGGGATACTTTAAAAAAAAATTGTTTTAAATCAGCCAAATTAAATTATATTTTAATCGACTGAGTTCACAATTTTGGAAGTGTGCCTTTTTGAAAATTTCCAAAAGGGAATCCATATTATTATATTAAATCAATCAGAGTTTGCTTTTATCCTGCTTTTAACTGAACTCTTGAAATTCAATAATGGCCAAAAAAAAAAGTCCAAAAAGAGTGATTCCTACTTCAGTTTTCTCCACTTCAACTATGACATCATTAGTAAATCTCTGCCAAATTTCCACAAAAGGTCTGACTTGACAGAAAGCAACTTCTGCCTTGATTAGGAATGTAGGACGTCACTCTATATAATGTCAGAATTTATGGTCTCTTGTGACATGCAATACTTTTTATTGGAAGATCTTCTCATCCACTAATGGACAACGAATGGCTATTTTACTGGAGTTGATAGTTCTTATCTAAATTCCAAAGGTTAATCCCACACCTACAGCATGAATCTCTTATGAGTTTGTCTGGAAAATTGACTCAAAATTTCTTATACATGATGCATGTATCATATCTTTAAACCTTTTTCTCTTGTTTGACTTCAAATCCTCTAGTATAAAGCCAGGTTGATCTAAATTGTGCAGGGAGTTTGAAAAATGATTTGGAGGACCTCTGATTAATATAGAAAATGTAGAAAATTATTCTGACCTACTACATATAGAAAATTATTCTGACCTACTACAGTTATTATTTTAGCATATTCAGGTTTGCTATCTGTTTTGTATCTTATCTTTATTTCTTAATACATTTTGTATCATTTCCAGGTATACAAAGAGTATTTAAGTGTTTATATTTTATGGGAGCTAGCTAATAAAAATGTTTCAGAATGAGAAACATATGGATAATGTATTCAGGATAATTCATACAAATATGACAGAACTCAAATATTTTCAGTCTGTATGAAAGATTTAATTGGACATTTCTGAAAGATTGCTTTGTATCAAATCTTATAATCCTTAGCTACCATGTTTGAGGGCAGCAAGTTAGGAAGATGTTGCTGAACATTTGGTAATCAAATTCAGTTATTTTTAGAATACTGGCTTTGCAAGAATTTTTTTAAAAAAAAACAGATATACATCATAAGTTCTCAAAAAGCAAGCCTTGTTTAAAATTAAATATGGAAGTCTATTAAAGATCCACTGTTAAATCAGTCTACACAATAGAGCTCTGTGAGTCAGCATTTCTGACACAATTATCACACAGAATTCTACACTAAAAAGTAGAAAGATTGGTCTGATATCTTAACATGAGTGATTAATAAAAATATACTGAAAGGAATTTTTATTTCCTTCAAAAAAAAATTAGGTCTGTCAATCGTTTCTGTCAGTTCAAGTCTTTATCAGCAATTTGGGCAGACTCACAATTGTTAGATTTTCCATAGGTTTTAAAATACTGGGGATGTGGGGGGGAATGAATATATGGAAATAAATATTGTAGTTTATTTTCTATAATTATTAAATAGCTCTCACCTCTAAATCTCATTTGGTAATATTAAAGAAACATTTTTCAATTCATTCAAGATAATCTTTTACTACGTCATCCATAGATGATGGCCTCTCAGATTTCTCTGCAGTGATTCATATTAATTGAGCATCTTCCAGGGTGGTGTCCAAGGGCCAAAACTAAGAGTGCAGAATCATGAAACCAAGAAGGCCTTGCTGTAAAAGCCTTGTTCAACTAGACATTTAATCAAGCTGCTGTATATTTTAACAAAGAGATACCTAGACTTTTCTAATCAAGGTTTAAACCACTGACATGGGTAAATCCCCTGAATGTTTATGTGTCATCATTTTTGTGTTCAGAATCCAGTATCAAGAATGTCACAATTGAACTATGCAGTAAAAAACAAAACAAACAAAACAAAAATAAATATAGGAATTTTGCTTCTTTTTCTTGAAGCAAAAACTGTCAAACACCTTAATATTATTAAATTATTAATCAAAATGCAGCAAATTCAGACTTAATCTAAAAATTTTAGGTGCAACTGGAAAGAACATGACCAAAGATCATTTCAAGCAACTTTTGGTATGATTACAGGAATCAATGTATAGTGCAAATTCATTAGAATACAAAATCAAGAACAAATCCCAAAGTAATTATGAACCACACCTACATGTAGCCAAGGGTTTCTGACAATGGCTGAAATCCCTTCTAAGGAAAGAATAGTCAAAGAGAGAATTTGCCTAAAGTTTACAAAGATAACCAGCTTTGATACTCAAAATACGTATCATTTTATTCAACTTGTATTGCAAAATTCTTCAATTTACGGTACTACGACTTTTGAAAGAGGCTGTAATAATCTGTAGCCAAGCAATAGTAAGATATAGCAAATAAAGTGCTCCTTATTCTATAATAATTTCTGTCTGTTATTTGTCTTGAAAAAAATATCTCTCCAAAATCTGCACTATACTCAGAAAGCTTGAGGGGTAAAAATTCCATATCACTTATGGCTGAAAGTTAGAAACAAAAGAACCTCCTGTATTTCTGTTCAGAAGTGGCGTATTTTGCAGCCCCAGTGCTCTCTAAAGCCCTTTCGCCTCAATTTTCAGGGAGCAAAAGCAGACAGTGCGCAAATGGATCCTAAATATAATTCTCTTTTTCTCCTTGACTGTAAAAACGCCCTTTGTCAGCTATGGGCTGCCATAGGGACCGCACTGCGGACTGCACCACGCCCACCATGCCGCCGGTATCTCTGGGCAGACTCTCTAGCAGCAGCATAGAGAGGTGGGAGGAAAAAAAAGAAAAAAGAAAAAGGAGACACTGTTGCTGGCAAGCAAAGACTGGAACGACCTCTGCTCTGAGCCGGAGTTGGGGGGGTGGGATGTGTGTGAATGATGACAATAGGGAGGGGAGGAATGACTCACAGAAGAGAAAAGTAAAACTCAAGATCAACTGCACCTTCCTTGTGCCCCTTGGTGCAGCAAAAATGCCAAAGTCAACTGCAGAGCTGTCTGCGGAAAGGCAAAATACTCCCAGCACCCAACATATTTGCTGTTTCAGAAGCAGAGGCATCCTTACACATCTCCAGGAAATGTACTTTATGTAGTAAAAATCATACAGTATTCCCCTGGACATATTACCCCTCCCAGATCTCATTTCCTTCTGCTTCCTGTCCTACATCTCTGGAAATATGGATGAATTGAAATATCCCCAGAGAACAAGATCTTCCTAAGAACGAGGAGGGGATCAACGTTTAAACTTCTTGTTGTTTGAAGTCAACTATGGTTAAAAAAAAAAAAAAAACAACCCAAAGCCATCAATTACAAAGGTGCCATTTCTTCTCCTCTCACCAGGAGAGAACTGCTGCCTCCACACCCTTCAGTGCCTCCCTGCAGCTTCTTTCTTTCTTTCTTTCTTCTGGGCACAAGGCACGCCTAGAAGTGTGAATCTCTCTGGAAAAATGGGACCGGGGTTGGATGGGGGTTAAATATTGACACGGCTGCCCCCCCCCCAGTAGCACTGCAGTCCTAAAGAGAGAACCCTCACCCCTCCTAGCACAAGCATCCACATAAGAGAAAGGGGGGAGGGGGGAAGAGAGAGAAGGGAGTGGTTGCATCAGATTTTCCTTTTTGGGATCTCCGCTGGGCTGAACTAGATCAGCCCAACGAGTCCCCGAGAATTGCACCATAAACAGGCAAGGAAGAGAAGTTGCGATGGGGACGGAGGGGGCGGCGGGTACCAAGGTCGCAGGCAGAATCACAGCTCGGGTAACTGCAGCGAACTCTCCTCTCTCTCTCCACCACAAGAGACGGTGGCAGCAAGGACTTTTGTGCAACCTGTAGGCTGCCTCCGATCTCTTCCCTTTCCCCTCGGCCAAGCCAGCGCTCGGGGGGGTGGTGTTGGGGGGGGAGAGAAGGGAAGGAAAAAAACGAAGTCCCCCTTCCCGAAAATCCTGCAGGAGAGACGGGAGAGAGGAGAAAGCGGGCGGGAGGGACGCCTCCGCCTTACCTCGCTCTATATTGCTTATGGCTCTTCTCAGATGCTCCTCTGTGACCAGCTCGCCCACCACAACCAGCAGATAAAATTTGCTGTCGAGAAAACGGTGCGACAGGCTCGGCGAAGGGGGGACCGCGGTGGGAAGGCTACAAGACGGCTCCGACTCGGGTTCCAGCACCACCGTCGCCATCCTGGCAAGCCCGCCTCCGCCTCCTCCTCCCTCCTTCGCAGCGCCTTTCCCAAAGCTCCTCTCTCGAGGCGACGGCGGAGAAAAGAGGGGAGGCGACGAAAGGGTTTAATTCCAAAGGCGCCTCCCTCTGCAGGGAAGAGGGGGGTGAAAAAAGAAGAAGAAGCGCGCCGAGAAACACCGCCGCGCTCCAGGCAGCTGGGAGAGTGAGGGAGGGCGGGGAGGCGGCGGGTTTTTATACCGAGACAGTGCGGGGCTGGGACCTGGCGAGAAGGCGGAGGGAGGCGGCGGCGGCGGCGGCGGCTGAGGAGGAACAGGCGGGTGGGGGGGAGACCCGGCGCAGCCACGCGCTGCTGCCGCCGCCGCTTTGCCAACAGCCACCACAGGCAGCAGCTGATGTCATTTGCAGCAAATCATTCCCATCGCTGCTTCCGGAAGGAGGAAGGATGAGGTGATGCCCAGAAAAGTCCCGCCAGGAATGAGGATGGGGCCTGCTTGGACTCCCCGAGCCCCCATCCGACCCCCCCCCCAACCGTTGATTCTTCATCTTCAACATCTCAATCCAGAAAGTAAGGATTTGTCTGTCCCGCCGAGGAGGCGCAGCCACACAGAAGACACACAGGCCACAGGCAGCCAAGAAAAGTCCAAGCAAAAAAAGTAATATTTGACCGTGGCGATTGCCAAAGGCAAGGCAAAGGTGTGTTTTCACATTTACAAGCCACGGAAGATCAGCCAATGGGTTGGCCATTGCTTTTCAAAATTATTATATAGATAAATTCGATAAGTGTATTTATTTAGAATGAGGTGGCTGGATGGAGTCACCGATGGTGACGATGGAGTCCAGCCAGCAAAGCAGTCGGTGTGAGCTTAAATGGACTCCAGAGGATGGTAGAGAACAGGAAGGCCTGGAAGAATGTTGTCCATGGGATCGTGATGGGTCGGACACAACTTGGCAACTAACAACAACAACAACAACAATTATTTATTTAATCACATTTGCATAGCTGCCTATCCTTCTAAGTGACTTTGGGCAGTGTACATCATAATAATAATAATAAAAAATGTGCAGAAACTGTTAGATCAGGTAATGGAGAGGCACACACAGGCTAACAGTAACGATACCTCTTTATTAAGTACAACAAGTGAGGACAATCCAGCAAAGGTTGAGTCTGACAGCAGCCCTTTTATATGGAGC